TTCCTTACCCGTGGATGTCGTAAGAGGCGACTAAAAGCCAAGGGATCACGACGAGGGATGGAGCAGTGTCTTAAAACATATCTAAAAGCCTAACTGCGGTTGCCAACCCGCCTGCCAAGCGTGACAAGTACAACTCCCCTTATGGGCTAAATTTATTAAAGGCTTATATCCAACAGTGGACAGTTAGCGGCTGGAGTAATATATATAATTATATATATATATATACACACACACATATATATATATATATATATATATATATATATATATATATATATATTACGCACATCTACATTCAAAATCTACGCGTACAAAGTTGCGAGTAGAGTCTAGTCTATCAGATAATATAATTAAGTAGGTATAAACTAAGTTCAACTATCGGCGCCGCGATGGTCTTCGATTTTAAGTAACTATAGACTTTACCAGTTTACTGTATACTGTACTGACCTACCTTGTTATAGATACGAATGCCCGGGACCGTATCTAACTACTAGTATACAGAGGAAAGATTACTTTGTTTTTAATGGATAAACACAAACTACTGGAAGGAAGGGATTGTTAGTAATGCGGACTACCAGTCCCATTGCTAGCAATATATCCTGTCCGGTCGATCTCCACGTGGTCCCCCCTGGAAACCATCGTTTTTTTTTTTTTTTTTTTACAACACAGGGGGCAAACGAGCATGCGGCTCACCTGATGGTAAGTGACTACCGCCGCCCATGATCACCCACAACACCAGCGGCATTGCAGGTATGCTGCCGGCCTTTTAAAAAGGAATATACTCTTTTATTGAAGGTTATGTTGTCGTATCGGTTCGGAAATACTGCTGCTGGAAGTTGATTCCAAAGAATGGTTGTGCGTGGAAGAAAGTGCCTTGAAAAACGCACGGTGGAAGACCGCCACTCGTCCAGATCGTGATAAATTCCAGATGTATATAGGTCACCCCTGGGGGGAAAGGAATTGTTAGTAATGGAGACTGAGAATCCCATTGTTAGCAATATACCCAACCAGGTCGACCTCCTCGCGGTTCCCCCTGGAAACTATCATGGTTAATTCCTGATGAATTCATCATGATGGGCTAACTGGCCTGTTTTCATTCTCATCTATCACCCTTCACTGGTGCTCCGCCAGCGTATCCCGTTAGCGCAGGCGGGGTTACCATACCATTTTCACCCATTAAAAAAATAGGTTACCCTTTCCGTTTCCATGGGTGTCGTAAGAAGCAACTAAGAGAAGACGGGGGATGGGCAGCAGCGCCTTAAAACATCTCAAAAAACCTAACTGCAGTTGCCAATCCGCCCGACAAGCGTGACAAATAGTGGCAAAGTCGCAAAGAAGGGGTTTATGTCCAGCAAGGGACAGTTAAAGGCTGATATGATGAGTGAATAGAACAATGTGATCACTATCACACTATAGTGCAGTACATTTATTTATTTAACTCTTTATTGCACCATAAATAAAAATATACAATGACAAGTGAATAATTCGAATGAAATACAGTAACATAAATACAGATTGAAATATACACATAAAGGTACAAAAGGCGGTCTTATCGCTAGGGCAATCTCTTACAGACAACCTTTGGTTAAAGGAGAACAGATAGAAAAGGGCAGGTGGCGAAAGAGTGAATTAATAATTTAAATAATAGTATAGATAGTAAATTAAAATAATAAATAAGGAGTAAATATTTTCATTTTACTCAAGTGTTGATGATGTAATTACAATAATATATCATAACATACACTTACATCATACATTACTGGTGGCTTTATATATATATATATATATATATATATATATATATATATATATATATATATATATATATATATATATATATATATATATATATATATATGAATAAGTTTTACTTACATTGTACAAGCATTAGATTATCTATACTTATAATAAATCTGTAGAGAGTATTTCCAAAATAACTATCAGCGGGTGATTAGTGATCGATACTGATGCCAAAAATGCAATCAGTAAAATTTTTATCTGTCTCTGTATGTTTGTTATAGAAACAAAAACTACTCGACGGATTTTAACGAAACTTGGTACAATTATTCTTCATACTCCTGGGCAGGTTATAGTATACTTTTCATCACGCTACGGTAAATAGGAGCTGAGCAGTGAAGGGAAATGTGTCTGTTACATCAAAACAACTGAACCGTGAGGAAGGACACAGGCTACTTATTTTACGAAAAACGACGGAAACGCGGACGAAATCGCAGGGAACAGCTAGTCCATAATTAACAACTGAACTCTTTATCTAAATGACATATTCAATAATTAGTTACATTAAATGTTATTGATAAAGGATCAAGGAGAACTTATTTATATCGGATTAAATAATTATTATTTACATATAAAAGCAGCTGAACTATTAAGCCAAATATGGGTTAACATACAGCATTGACCCTTAAGATGATTAAATTTTTAATTTTTTAAAGAGTATTGACTCTACTTGGTTATAGATGGTGTAAAAACTGATACTCCATGGTACTGCTCATGTCTATAGGCGACGGTTACCACTTTCCATCAGGTGGGCTGTCAGCTTGTTTGCCATTCTAAGTTGTATAAAAAAATTTATAAAAATCCTATTCAATATTAACATAAAATTATTCTATACTAATGGACTGTACTAATTTTAAAATGGGCCATCCCTTCCTATCCCGTGAATGTCGTAAGGAAACTTAGTGATCGAGGGATAGGCAGAAGTGTCTCTCTTAACATCACCAACACCCTTGTAAATGTAAATTGGACTCCTATTTCCGCTTTAAACCTCTCATTTGGGTTTTTGTATGTGTGAGTCGTGGCTAATACAGCCAACCAAACTCTACTCAGAAGCATAGAAGCTTCCTGGTATCTTAACAGGCCTCACGGAACGCCCTATCTGTTTCGCGGATTTGTGAACATTGAAGGCCACTGCTACACATACCAGGATTACACGGCCAGTCGTTTCTACAGCGTCAAATCAGTCTTGACATAGAGGGCTGTCTATAGCCTCTATTATGTATAAATGTTTATTTAAGAAACAATGACCCCTTTGTTTTCCCTATTATTATTTTAAGGTATTTTTTTTATTTAAATACAAAAAACATTTTGAAAGTCTTCGATTCAATTTGTGGCCAATTTTGATTGTCTGCAAACAGTAGCCTGCGTCCATATTTCTTATCTGCTGAGAATAAATCCCAAGAAAGTCAATAGTTACTCTTTAAAATCTCTGTTAACATTATGTGTATTTAAATAAATGTATTATGTCTATATTGAAATCCTGACATAAAATAGACCATTCTTTTCTATCTCAGGGGTATCATAAGAGGCAACTAAGGGAGGACGAGGGATGGGCATCAGCATCCCTTTTAAAACATCTCTAAAGCATTATTGTGGTTGTCAATCTGCCTGCCAGGCGTGGCAGCTACTGGCAAAACCCCCTAAGGGGAAGGCTTATGTTTTTTTTTTTATATATAACTTAGAATGGCAAACAAGATGATAGCCCACCTGATGGAAAGTGGTAACAGTCGACTATAGACATGAGCAATACCATGGACAATCAACAATGTATAGTTAAAGGCTGACATAATGATTATACCTAAAATTACAAGGTTATTAAAAAGGCTGTGTATGATCAATTAACACCATGCACATTTGTCATTCAAGTAATAGTTTAGTGTGTAATAAGCTTTATTCAATAAGTATATTTTAATGAATGTTTATTAATGAATGTGGAAGAAACGAAAGAAGTTTGTTTGAATCAAAGCATTTGGCGTTCCATTGTTTCTGCCTACTCTAATGGGAGACAGACGTGACAGATATGTATATATATGTATTTTAATAACAATTTTAAATTTATTAAAATTGTTATTAATATACACTTAGTCTAAGATATTATTTGTTATCTTATTATTACATTTAATGACTATTCCCATAAAAAACCTATTATCTTTTTCTAAATGATTCCTTTGTTTCTGTATCTAGTGTTAAAATTATTAAGAACACAGTTTTTTAAGAAACATTTAAAGATTTCTCATTGTTTAAATAAATACATTTACATAATAAACATCGCAGACATCCCCTTTTGTCAAGATTAATTTGAAGATAAAGAGTTGTAATAAAATAATACAATGTATGACCAGTGTTACACATGCTGAAAATGTGAAATTACAGTATACGGAAGCATAATGCCATTCCTGAGTACTATACTCAAGAAGGGGGGAAAGGGATTGTTAGTAATGGAGACTAAGAATTCCATTGCTAGCAATATACCCAACCAGGTCGACCTTCGCACGGTTCCCCCTGAAAACTATCATGGTTGATTCCTGATGGGCTAACTGGCCCATTTTCATTCTCATCAATCACCCTTCACTGGTGCTCCGCCAGCGTATCCCGTTAGCACAGGTGGGGTTATCAAACCATTTTCACCCATTAAAAAATAAAGTATACTCAAGAATGGCAATGAATGGATATCATAATCTGTAATGTACACAATATTGTTAGGTAGACAACTACCACCTTTCTACACTAATTAGGTGTAGTTAACACCTGATGGTGGACAAACGAAAAAGATTATTTTTTTCAATACAAAGACGAAAAACTAGATTTATCATCTGTAATGAATAAATTAAAAAACAGACTTAATTGCTTTAAAAAAAATCACTTGTAGAAAACTAGATTATTAGCAGATAAAATTGGTGATAGCTATTCTATATTCAAAAATCATGACAAGCTGGGACAGAGAACTAATATTCTATAAAGACAACCTTTGGGGTCTACCAACTTGACTCATTACTTTACCTTCCAATTATCCTAGGTTTACAAGCTAACGGCTCGCCTGACGTACAGTGACAATCGTCGCCTATACACATGGACAGACAAACACACAGACAAGAATATATTGTGATGGTTCCATGTTTGATGACTATGGTGTTATGCCTTCGTATCCTGAAATATCTTGCATATAATTCTCCATATTCTTAAAATCACTTATAAATACTTACGTCTGAGTCCTCTTGCGATTGAAACGCTAAAGTTATTTAGCACAGACATTTTCAAAATATTAAATCACTTGCCACGATTTATCACTTATGACACTATTTAGTCTATTTTTATAATCTTAGATATTAGTAATGGTTTAGGTAATTAAGATTAAACAGACGATGAAATAAATAAAATATAAATTTGGATTGTAAGATAACAAAAATGGCAAAAAGTCATCAATTGAACTGGATTTCTGCCTAATAGTTATTATCGCGGGGGCGTGGCGACTACTTTAAATTTATTAAGTTCTCTCATATTTCGCGTTACTGATATCGATAAGTTATTTATTTATAGAATTCATATACAATTTTGATTTGTTTAAGAAACGATGAAGACCGTCCGGCTATTTGACATTTCGTCGACTGACCACAGATTAGAGAGACTGCAACTTATCAGTGCTGATAGGACAACACAGAGTTGCCAGATGCGTATTTTGATTTTTACCCCAACGTCAAAAATTTTTTTATATATTTTTGTTCAAATGATATGACTTTCAAGACTTTTACCCAATCATAAAAATTATATAGTTTTTTTTATTACATTTTGCCATTGGTCACGAAGTAAACGACTTCACCTTCCTTTTGTTTTTTTTAACTTACCTACCCTTTCTCTTTTTGTTATCTCATTGTCTATTTCATTACTGCATTCATGTTATACTGTATTTACATACCTCTCTACAGTTTAGATATATCAAAAACATATAAAAAAATTACCCAAATTTCTCCAAATTCATAATAATAACTAATAACTCTTTATTATACACGAGAGATGTATTTAAGGAGTATTTATACAGAATGTGCATATACAAAAAACGGCCTCATTGCTAAAAACAATCTCTTACAGACAACCTGGATTTCATTTCCTTCTTTCAGAATTTATTTTCCTTTCCTCAAAAATGTCGTGCATAAAAATTTTTTTGCCTAAAACTGTGATAAAAATATTCAATCTGGCAATGCAAGTATGGCCGATCTGACACCTAGTACAGACTATATACATCTAATAAAATCGTAAGTAGTCGCTGTCTGTACATGGAAAATACGTTATAAGAAAAACTATTATAAGAATTTATGAATACAAGAGAACCCAAAACAATTATTCTTAGAATTATTGTCTGTTTGATATCCCAATCTCGCAGACGAAGTCGTGGGTAAATATATATACATGTATATATATCTGTGTGGAGTCGATATAAGGCACCCCTTTCTTTCCCTTGGTGTCGTAAGAGGCGACTAAGGGCGAGGGATGGGCAGCAGCGTTCGTCTTAAAACATCACAGCCTAACTGCGGTTGCCAATCCGCCTATCAAGCGTGTCAACTACTGGCAAAACCCTCCAAGGGAAGGATTATGTTCAGGAGTGGACAGTTAAAGGCTGATATGATGGTGATGAATTACTAATGGACTAACTTAATAGTAAGAACCTTAAATAAAACACTTCTAACTGGGTACTTGTATAATTAGTTCCATTATAAAATAGCTAATGAACATTACAAGCAATAAATAACAAAAACAACACTATTCACTCGAATTCTCCTTATTTACAAAACCGTTTATGAGGATTCTTATTCGACAAACTCGCAAATATTAATGGAATATCAGACATTTACTGCAGGGTGTTATTAATTTGGAAATAATTCGAATATGTTAACTTTACGGTTCATATTTTTAATACCATAGTAAAAAAAATATATTGCACACTAGATTAAATATATTTATTAATATCAAAACAAGTAAAAGGAAAAAAGTCATGAACCCTAGAGTAAAAATCTGAATTAAAAAAAAAACATAAGATTGGTCAATATTATCGATGAAATAAAAAGGGCCATAACAAAACAGCCAGTATTCAAAGTCACGAAAAAAAAAACATTGCCATTTTTTACTTTATTAGACTTTGACTATACGCCAACAAAATGAATTTCCATAGCCAACCGTTACTATCAGGTAACTAAACATTCAGATTAGATTAGGCACTAATTATGACATGTAGTATTTTTAACTGTTACTATTTTTTATGGCAATTAGTACATAAACAATCTTTTTACAAAATGTTGCTACTATGTTAAAAAAGGAACAATACTTATTGGTGTTCGTAATACAAAATTACCTTTCTTTTATTTATGTGTACGCGTTTATTCAGTCCTTGTGTAATACTAAAACAAATGCAGAAGGACCGAAAGTATACCATAGACAATATTTTAAAACTGTACCTAATTCATATCAGTAATAGATAACAATTTATTTTTTATTAATTTATTAGTGATGACTTATTTAGCAATACGGCAGTGTGGGGCGATGTTGGTAAGAATTAGGGATGGGTAATATATAGCAATATCTATATATTGAGTAAAGAAAAAATATAATAAATATTGGTCATTCAATATCGAAATGGAAAATGTTTGGACTTTATAATTGTAATATAATGTAGACTAAATACAGTTTAACATTTGCACACCTCTGCAGGGTGCTGCATGTTATGTGCCTGTATATGTAACTTCTTATTGTACCATGTAGCAAGCGAATAAATATGATTTGATTTGAATGAAGCACCCAATGGAAATGAGTATACTTACCCGCCATCAGTGTCCAGAAGAACCCAATATATAGATATCGGAGATATTGATATTATCCATACTTAGTAAGAATATTAAATAAAACGGTATAGTAACTTAATAATAGGAATGTATGGGGTAAAAACTAATCAATACATAAATAGATATTAAAAAAAAACGCAAGAGAAACGTGTGTATGAGAGAAACAGACGATACTGCCTCTATCAATGGAGTTTAATTAAAAGCACTTTCTTTTTTTAATAATTTAGACTGAGTTTTTTTGTAATGGCATAAAACTAATGTCTAAAAACTTTCCCATGTTTCACAACCAATATTATAAAGGCATAAAATATACCAAACTACCATCACCTACAGTTGATAATCATTTGACAGCCTAATTTCTTATTTCAACATAATTTGTGTGCACATTTAAAAACGTTTAAAGCATATATAAAATACAAACATACTAAATCAACAAATAAAATATAAACGTTCCAGAAATTATGAACAAGACATCTATTTGTCACACTTTTTTTTATAATTTTTTTAAAGCAATGTAAATAAAGCAAGTTCTATCATACTGTATAAAGTAATACACAGGGCAAAATCGAAATTAAAGTACAAATAAAGCATATTCTATCTCTCTCTTTCAATAGTATACTTACAAGAGCGTTCTACCGTTAACATGAGTCGAAAAGCGACCAAAAAAATTTTGATATTTTCGTACCAACTCAACAACTGAATTGTTAAGTTTCTCGTACTTACACGGCGGGTGTATGAGAAACTTAACAATTTTTAACTTATATATATATATATATATATATATATATATATATATATATATATATATATATATATATATATATATATATTATTTGAAAAACGACCAATCACAGAAACGACCAAAAACAGAAAAGTCATTAGGCTGTTAACTATTATAATTTCACCCTGTATATTTCCAGTTAACAAAGACCGAGTAGTGTTTATTAAGAATGTTCATAATTTTTGCTTGACGAAATGTTGCCATATTTCGACACAATTATCAATTTTATATATAGAAAATGTATTAAAAAATGTATTTTTTATACATAATAAAAAAAAAATATTAGCATTCTGCACTCCTTCTCCTCCTTCTTTTTCCATTAAAAAGAACTACAAAGTTTTTATTTCACGTATTAATATATAGATAAGAATATTATTGCATAATTAACGTTTTTGTTCGCTAGCAGAGAAGGACCTTTTTAAATAATCAGGCAGAAACATTGAAAACTTCAATTGTTTTTGAAAAATGGCAGGTAATTGTGACCTTGCCACACTTCGATAAGCTAAAGTTACGACCAATCTTAATTGTTAAGTTACATTACTAAATAAGTAAGGCTTCAAACAATCTACAAACGCCATACAAATATCTCTTAGTCCAACCCCGTCTTACTCTGGCGACGACCCATATACCTAAACCTGAATAAATTTGCAGAAATAAAACACGAGTGAAGTGTCAATTTCCTATACAAAGATAACAAGTACCTATAACATAATCATTATATTAGTCGTTGACTGTCCACTGTTGAACATAAGCGTGCCGTGAATTTACTGAGTACAGAGGAATAACACCCGAGTCAGGAATGGCAACGCATGGGGGGTATCATGGGCGAAACAGTATACTCTGTTATGTCCATGGTACTGCTCATATCTATAGGCGACGGTTACCACTTTCCATCAGGTGGGCCGTCAGCTTGTTTGTCTCCCCCTTGGGGGGGTTTTCCAGTAGTTACCACGCTTTACGAGCGGGTTGACGACCGCTGTTAGGCTATGGTGATGTTTTAAGATGGACGTTGCTGTAACAAGTACATACTGGGAAGGAAATATTTATATACAGTAAATCTGAATATTTTTTTTAAGAAACATTGGTTTAAAAAATTATTTATTTATCAGATGACCCGGTGAACTTCGTATCATCTACAACGCCATCTATTAAAAACCGAAATAGCGATACACATTAAAAAAAAATACCTTATATTCGCGGAATTAAGTTTTATCTCCCAAATCATAAAGTATATTATATAAATACAAGAAATTGACACCTCACCGTCGCATTGTCAAAGTATATAAATACTATTTTTTTTTTAATTTAGTTTAATCTACAAATTTCACAATATAATTTTCTTGGACAAAAAAAAATTGGAATCAATTTCATTATAATGTGTAAATAAAAAAAAATCCTTCTAAATAAGAACCGTAAGTATTGTCAACGCAAAGCTATCGGTCTATTTCTTAATATCAACAAAATTTTGTTGGCTAAAATAAAGTCTAACGTCAATGACATTAGGTCCAATTTTATTAACACAAGAAAATTGTCGCAAAACAGTAATTATCACTAAACAATATGTCTTTTCCAATAGTGACTGTTTCGCAAACCTAAATGCAGCGTTGTAGCATATATTTGAACACCGCATTTGACTAGAAAAATACACTGAGTATAAGCTCAACTATGAGAGCATATTGATGCTAATGTCAATGGATTTACATACATTACACGGCGCCATCTAGTAATCAGCACTTGTACTAAGGGCTATAGACAACCGATAAACATAGATACTTTTTTTAAATACATAAATTACAAGGTTAAGAAATTAGTTATACCGCTATACTAACGATTAGAACTTAATTCCATTCATGTTAAAATTAACTGTATGATTTTGTTTTTTGTCTTGATTGTTAGGAATAAATAAAACTTTTCCAATTTATTTATCCCCACTGTTCGTTGATCGAAATAATGCAACAAATAAAATTAAGAAAAAATCTTTTTTTTTTTTTCAATTAGCTCAACTGTTAATAGAACTTGGCAATAAAAAATTATGAATGCCATCATAATTTCTTATTGCTATTAAAAGAGTAATTTATTGACATTAACATTAATATAACATTTCATTGATTGACAGAAAATATATTTGTTAGTGAAAGGAACATTGTTATGTGAAACTGAAAATCTTGCATTTAATTAAGTTAACTGATTTGTTACAATATTGTTAAACAACATTGTTTGTTAAACATTGTATTGTCAAACAATATTGTTAAAAAGAATAAATTTATAAACGACGCGTTTATTTTAACAATTTTGAATGAATGAAAATTTATTTCACTTTTTGAATTCATGAATACTATTACGCCTTTTAAAATGCATAAATTTTCTAGTTTCGCAATTAAAATAGTTATGTGTTACTATTTAAATTAAGTAACCGGCCAGCATCTTAGCTTTTAAGTAAGCATATAAAACGCTACATCTAAAAAGATCATAATTAACTTATGATATATTATTTGTATCCACACATTCGATTTGTATTCAAACAAATAGAAATGGCGGGAAAAATATTCAGAGAGCGCATTGATTTTTTTTTTCCAAATTGCCAGTTACTACATGTTGTCAATATGCCAGCGCGGATGCGATTGAATTAATACAATGTCGTTAATTTAAAATTAGGAATACTCTTTTGGTACATTTCTACGTAAAATTAGCAAGCAATTTTATTTGCTTTTCAAAGTTCAACTTATGGCAGTATATGACGTTTCCCATGACTGACTTTTTTTTAAATTTTCAAGTATTTGGGGCCATACTGTAATTTTCAAAACTGAATTAGGCAGGTAGTACTTATTGAAAATTGCACTCCCATGAATTTTTTAGAATATTTATTGAGATTTAGATATCAACTCTAATACGTTTAGCATTTATCTGATATAACAGTTTTATTACGTTAATAAATTAAAATAATAAAATGTTAGAAATAAAGTTATCTTTTTTTTTTTTAAACGAATGATATTTCTATGTCTAATTTCTTTTTTTATCAGCCAACTTACCATGAATCCAAAACTTTGAAATCAAATGAAATAAATTTTAAATGATAAAAAAGTTATTAAGAGTATTTATGCCTTTCATGGTAAGCAAGCTGTGTAATAAGGGGTAAAGACATGGGTTTATTCAAGAGACAACACTATATATATTATACATGATGAAATGAAAATCCTCGCATCCTTTTAATATTGTTCTAATAGCGAAATTGATTAATTTCCAAAAAAAATATAGGTTGATAAACTACAAAATCCCATATTTGGAGATGGGACATAAGTTATGGGAGTACCAAAATTAGGGGGTGACTAATACATAGCAATATCTGTACACTGTATTTACAATATCTAAATATTAGTCCAATAACGAATATATTAAATAAAAATTATCTAATATTTATTATTTTATTTTTTATTTATTTCATATATTTATCATTTATAAAAATAATAAATACAGTAAATTTTAATGTGAAGTAATACAAAATGCTGCCTTATTGTCGCAGCATATAAATCGCATCGCATCTTATAAAACGAAGAACCTGATCGAAAGAATATAGATATCAGAGCAGTATCTATATCGACAAAGCTCAATCAAAATTGATCGTTTATCGGATCATTTTTGGGAAATTATCAGATTTACTGATTACAACAATATCTTAAAAGGATGCTTACCATTTGATTTCGTCATTACAGGCTCCATTACACAATTATTCAATCAAGTACACAAGCATCACCGCTATCAATTAGCAAGGCACGTAAATTCTATTTTATTTTGAACAAATTGCATCACCAATTCAAGCCCACATAGTGTAAATACTATAACGGTTAATACACATGATCATAAAAAAAAACATATTTCAGTTTTTTTTATACATATATATGGCGTTAAAAATTACGCAAATAATTGAAAACAATGTAGCATTTTTTAATTTAACATATAAAAATGTTCACATTATGCTTTTGTTAAATACAAATATGTATACAGAAAATAAGGTTGTATGGCTTTGTGCCTTTGCTATTCTTATTGCGAACAAACATATTCTTAATTCATTGTTCTTTTTTCAAATTTTCTACCTTTTTTTAACATTTCTTAATCATTAAAAATTTGTATTCTTTTTTTGAAATTTTCTTCATGATTTTTATTTTTGATACAGAGCAGTCTCAATATACTTGTAAAATATTTTTTAATACCATATATATGTGTATTAAAACAAACATTATCTAGTTAACAGATGCTAACATTTGCCTTATAGTAACATGCTATTCTGATTTAACAAACGTGTGCATTGGCAACCTTCATTATTGTCCACATTTTTAAACGAAATATAAGGAGCTGGCATATATATTAAAAAAAAGACCTATTAATAACACTCAAGACAATCAAAAAGTAACTTTATGTGACTACAATAAAATTCAATATTTTCGATATCCAATAAACCTCTAAACTAGCATTATAAAAAAGTCAATAAATAATATAATATGCTGTCTCGTCTTAAACAATCAGCCTAAATACTAATAAATAATTGTATATTTTCGCTCATGTATTATTGTGGAGTAAGACAATAAAAAATTATCGAATTTCATACTCGTGATTCGTGTCGTTTGAATTTACCAATTTTAAATAAAGAACACATATAATTTAAAATTGTGTTCTACAAAAAAAACCGACTTCAATTGTGCCAAAATCAATAACTTTGATTTTAAACGAAACTACTGAATCAATGTTGTTAAAATTTCTGTGGGACCAATTTGTTAATGTAATTATACACTTTTAAATACAAATCGATTAACAACTAATGGAGTTATGAGGTAACAAACATAAAAAAAGCGAATGAAAATGAGAACCTCTTTTTTTGAAGTCGGTTGAAAATAAGACCATTATATGTTACAATTATGATTATCAAACAAAATAAAGCCTTTTGCGTAAAATGCGGAAGCATGTCTTTTAAACTTATTGTTACTTACTGTCTTATTATTCACGACAATTTCTCATGTTCCATTTTAGAATTTTGTTATGATTTGAACTTCGTTTCATAATGGCGTCCTACCACAAAATGGCCGCCGGTCACAAAATGGCGGCAATCGATACTGGTGGCCGTGTCGCTTATTATCCACGAATGTGGATTATTTAATTATTATGCAATAAATATGTCTCGTATCGTTCAGTCTTCTTTTTTAGCTTCCCCGGATTTCGGCTCCTCCTCCGCCGAGGTGGGCCGATCCGATTCACCCCCTGAACCTAAAAATTAAAAGTATAAAATCAACAACATTATTAATTAATTGACTTACTAATATAAGAAAATGGTAACTAGACGATGTCTGTAGGGGACATTTAAGAAAATTTGATATCTTATTTTTTATTTTTTTTTTTATTTATTTATGCTTTATTGACCACATTACAAAAAAATGTCTGGTACAAAAGGCGGACTTAATACTATATAGCATTCTCTCCCAGTCAACCTTTGGCAAAACAGAAATTTTAATATGCGGTGAAAAAAATTACAACACATACAATAGAGATTATATAAATATACATACATGAATATATTAAACAAATATTACATAAATATACAAATATGTAATAAAAATACATATATACAAATATAAATATACATATATAAATATACCTACTTATAGATTATATACGATAACACAAATAAACAACGATAGAGATCAAAAGTGATGATGATGAAGGTGAACTGCTTTCACAGTTTTTTCCAAAGATATTCGTAGACTTTTCTCTTAAAAATAAATTTGTTAGAAATTTGTCTTATGTCCATGGGTAGCGCATTCCGGAGTCGTGAGGCCTCAAGAGTAAAGGAATTGGAAACAAAAGCAGAACGATGTAGAGGAATAGAGAGAACAAGAGAGTCGTTAGAACGAAGTGAGAATCACAGAGATATTTGAATCTACATTTCTTATTGGTCTTATTGTGAATAGAAGATAAAAATAAAATTTTTGTTTGTATGTCTGTATTTTTATATCACCATCACGGGGAAAACTATTGAATGCGATTGCACAGTTGTGCTCCTGAAGGTCCAACTAAAGTCTGGTGTATTTTTCACCTTGATACGCCATCTAGAAGTGATAATCTACTTCTAAACACCACGCGTACAAACTAGTTCTAAATATTCTTTCTATATTGAAGGATTAGGTTCAGCAGTGGACAGTAAAACTGATATGATGATGTGCAAATAAAATAAAATTTACCGCCAAATGTTGGGATACCATTTTTCTTTTCGTCTTCACTGTCGCTTCCAGAACTCGCTATGGACGAGTCATCGCCTGACAAACAAACAAAAACAATAATATAATAATAATACTTGGATGCTTAGAACTTGCCGTGTGTTTTCGGCATAGAATGAACCGCTCTTCCTTTCCCGTGGATGTTGTAAGAGGCGACTAAGGGAACTTAATAGTTGAGCGAGGGCCAGCAGCGTCCCTCTTAAAACATTACCAAAGCTAACTACCGTTACCGGGCCATCTGCTAAACGTGACAACTGCTGGAACCCACCCCCCTCTTATGGGGGAAGCTGGATAAGGTATTGTGACTTCTTACGTCACGTTCCACGAACACAGACAAATATATGAAACAACTACCTTATTAGGTACCTCATTTTTTTTATGTAACTTAGAATGGCAAACAAGCTGACGGCCCACCTGATGGAAAGCGGAAACCATCGCCCATAGACATGAGCAGTACCATGGACATAACAGAATATACTGTTTCGCCCTTGATACCCCCCATCATTACCAGTATCAAAAAAGATACCCCCCATCATTACCAGTATCAAAAAAGATACCCCCCATGCGTTGCCATTCCTGAGAACTCAGGTGTTATTCCTCTGTACCCTGTAAATTCACGCCATATCCCACCCTTCAAACCGAAACACAGCCATGCAAACATAACTGCTTTACGGTTGAAACACTTATATCGCATTTTAGCACATAGCAGTTAATATAAAACGACATTGTAACTAGCTAAGAGGAGAGAATCCACCATGTAACTCTGAAGTACACTATCATCCATTAAAAAAGCCCCTATGAGGTCAATCTTCTCTTAGAAACCATCGTAGTTAATTCTAGTTGATCTGCATTCATCCTCATCTCTCATCTTTCACTGGTGCCTCGCCAGTGTGTACTGATACTCGGCTTCTCTACTCTCTGCTTTGACCTTCAATATAAAAACTATAACACGCAGTTCTAAAACATTTGCACTCTGCGTTTATAAGAACAATACATCGTATTATAACCCGCTAATCCGTATGTGTCGTACTTTTAATGAATTTTCAGCTAAATGTCCTCAAATTAATATCTTCAACTCACGTCTAAACACCTTCAAAAGTATTTTACAATGAGCCATCAAGTCTCTTTGACACGTCCATATCTTTATGTATTTTTATTATTTGCATGTACTTCACTGTTATTTACCAAATTCATATGCTTTCTTTATATAACTTTATAATTTAACATTGTTTGCCGACTGCTTCAACCATGCTGTGTGTACACGTGTCTGGGTCTCAATTTGGTTCAAACTATTATCTTTATATAAATGTTTATAATGTTATTGATTGTAACCTGTTGTGTATACCTTTAATAAATAAAATAAAAAAAAAATAAGATACTGCAGGCGGGGTTCCCATTCCATTATCACCTGTTACAATAAAAACGCATGTAGTTGTCAGGCGGGGCGTATGCTTACCGGGCAGGGCTAGCGCGCGCGGGGCAGGCAGGGCGCGGGCGGGCGACAGCTGCGGCGCGGCTGGCCGCTGCTTACGCGCCGGGTTCAGCTTCCCGCAGTACGCGCAGATGTACGACACGTATTCGAACTCCTCTACCATCGCCATGCCTGTTCACGACATTATATCTTATTTACTACCGTTTACCCATAAATTTTTTTTTTATGGGTGATAATAGTATGGTAACCCCGCCTGCGCTAACGGGATACGTTGGCGGAGCACCAGTGAAGGGTGATAGATGAGAATGAAAACAGGCCAGTTAGCCCATCATGATGAATTCATCAGGAATTAACCATGATAGTTTCCAGGGAGAACCGTGAGGAGGTCGACCTGGTTGGGTATATTGCTTGCAATGGGATTCTCAGTCTCCATTACTAACAATCCCTTTCCCCTCTCTACCCACTAATTAGAAGGTATAACATACACTAGTCTTCAACCAATTTCAAAAAGGAGGAGAACTATGACAACAACATTCCAAACTTAGCAGGAGAATTAAATGAAAGGTCAAATTAAAAGAATTTGGAAAGAAATCTATTTGAATAAGAATTATTTCTATTCTATGATGTAATGTTTATAAATAAACTTCCTACGTAACGTCTTATACTCATGTAAGGATCAGCTAAACTGTTGCACGTCGACCCGTTGGGATCTTTTGTTGGGATCTTTTGTTGGGATCTTTTGTTGGGATCTTTAGGGCAAAGGGAAGCCCTTTGCCCTACATTACCCTTTCAAAGATCCAATTTATTACTTTTACGATATACCGCAGTTTAAGATATCCAAAGTCTGTTGGTTTTAGGTTGGGTTTGGATAATCTGTTCCCAGTATACTCATACACATACTTGCCAACGAATCACAACTGCACATCAAGTGTTCCGTGAATTCCGATTCCTTACTGCACAATTTGCACGTGTACGAGGGCAGGACCCTACTTGTATAATAGTATATGCCTTATTGGCATTTGACTTGTTAAGGCACACATTTTAAGTTTGCCTATTATCTGCCTCCACTGTGGATGAGTTTATCCCATCGTTTAGCATTGCTGTTTAAGATTTTTTTAAATTGCTTGAGATCTTTCAATTCTATCCAATCTTTTTGCTGCTTTGTTCTCGCATATTCCTCAAGGTATAAGATAGAATGGTCCACCCCTTCCTATTTCATGGGTGTCGTAAGAGACGACTAAGGAAACTTAATTCTAGAAGAATGAGCAGCAAGATCCCTCTTAAAAAATCACCAAATATCTAAGCCTGTCTGCCAAGTGTGGCAACTACTAGCAGAACACCCCTTATAGGGAAAACCTTTGTTCAGCAACAAATGGTTCAGGACCTATCATTTTTAATACTGAACCCCTTATGGCCAACTCATCGGCTTTTTCACCGCCTCTAATCCATAGGGATTAGGGACATATAGATGTCCAGGGACCCATATCAAACTAATTCTATTACGCCTACCTGAATTATTTAAGTTAATTAAGTAACTGGCAAGTCTTCCCCAATTATAAATTGTCATACAGGGGGGAAAGGGATTGTTAGCAATGGAATTTGACAGCCCCATTGCTATCAATATGCCCTATTAGGTCGACCTTCATGTGGTTCCTCCCGGAAACCATCGTGAACAATTCTTGTTGAATTCGTCACGATGGGCTAACTGACCTGCTTCATTTTCACCTATCATCATTCACTGGTACCCCGCTGGTGTATGCCGATGGCGCGGGTGGGGTTGCCATACCATGATCACCCATTAAAAAAATACTGTCATACGGAACGACACTGTTCCTTATGGCAGTCTATGGAGGATGTCTATATTCAGTAGTGGACAAATAACGTCTGGCATGGTGATGATGATGATGATGAGTTATTTAAGTTAACAAACTTACCATTATGCGAGTTGCACTCGGAGCATATAAGCGCCATGCGGTGGTTAGGCCCGTCCTTTAGCAGGTAGTCGACCACTTTGTCCAACGCTGACCGGTTCTTGTCCAGAAGCGGCCGCGGCAGTTGGTCAGACTGGGAACAAATGTAATTTGTTGTGAGACAAATTTAAATTGTTTTTTTTTTTATACAACTTAGAATGGCAAACAAGCTGACGGACCACCTGATGGAAAGTGGTAACCGTCGCCTACAGACATGAGCAGTGCCATTGACATAACAGAGTATACTGTTTCGCTCATGATACCCCCCATGCGTTGCCATTCCTGAAGACTCAGATGTTATTCCTCTATACCCTGTAACTGCCATTGCCACTGCCATATCCCACCCTTCAAACCGAAACACAGCCATGCAAACATAACCGCTTTACGGTTGAAACACGAATGGGAACCCAAGCAAACAACTTTTGTACAAAGTCTCCCTCTGGTAATAATTGATTTCAACATATGGTCAAACTAAGTATATGGTACGATACAATACGTTACAGGGGCGGGAGGGGGGTCGAACAAGGCGCTGTTTAACCAAATATTTCGGAATAGAATAGATGGAATGCATAATTCACATAGTGTGTTGCTCGTTGTATTTATGACGTTGCCAATGCGTTAGAAAGGGATAGACATATAAAAACGCGTCTGCCTTTTGACTAGTCCGTAGTAGTCGAATTCATCAAGAATTACGTCACTTCGTTTTAGTGACCGTATAACCCTACCAAATTCAGATACAACCTGCTTGCATACTTTCTACATAAACTGTGTCGAATACATAATCTAGTAATGAAAATGAACAAAAATTTTACATATACATTTTCTATACACTAGCCTGCTAGGAATTGAAAATAATAGCAACTGATGGTGTATCTTTCGTCCTCTTTTTACAAATTATTCTTATTTGCATAAGAAGAAAGGAGGCAACCATATGATTTACAGTTTTTATTTTATAATTCCTTCTATGTAATTCCTTGTATTAAGTGTATAGCATTGTTTTTTTTTTATTTAAATAAAAAACTAGGGAATTAGAACCTCTCAAGTTGGCAACCTTTTTCTTTCTCGTTCCACGGAGAATCCCTCGACTGTATCGTACGTAATTTTTATTTCTTTGCCAATATTCGTTAGTGTTGTGACTCTTAGATAAAAATGGTCATTTGGATGTTACGTGACGTTTAGAGAGGGGCGGGAAAATGTGTACAGAAAAATATTACGGTATAACATGGTGATACTTGAGGATGGTGATGATAATTTAACTCACCCTAAGTCTGGGCCCCTTGTACACCGCTGATGTATTGTTCAAGGCGACCACGTTCATATTATTGCTGATTGGTGTTGATGACTGTAGAGCCAGCTGCCGCTGCCTCAGCTGGCCAGGAGTCGCTGGAAGTAAACAAAATGTAAATTATTACCACTTCCCATTAGGTGGGCTATCAGTTTTTTAGTCATTCTAAGGTGAATAAAAAAATTGTTTATCGTGTCATGTGGTGGGGGGGGGGGAGAGGATTGTTAGTAATGGGAACTATCAACCCCATTATTACCAATATACCTTATCAGGTCGACCTTCACGTGGCTCTACCTAAGCACCACCGTAGTTAATTTTCGTTGAATACGACACGATGGGCCAACTGACCTACTTCCATCCTCACCTATCATCCCTCACTGGTGCCCCGCCAGCGTATAACGTTAGCGCAGGCGGGGCTACTATTCTACTATCATCCATTAAAAAAGACCTCCATGGAGTAGTTGCGAGCACATTGCTTAGCGTAAATAAGGTCCCTGGTTCGATTCCCAGTCGGGCCTATTTATAAAACGGATTTTTCTGAATTATCTCAGGTCTGCGAGTTCTGGTGGCCCCAGATGTTGGTTGCCTGGTATATAATAACGATGTATATCCTAATTTGACGGCCAGGCGTTTGGTGTGTTTTTGGGGCATTTATTAGCTACATAGTCACAAAAACAATCGGACGAATTGAGAAACTCCTCCTCTGGGAAATTAATTAATACATATAATACAATCGTAACTGGCCGCTGTCTGTACCTGGAAGATATATAAGAAAAACTATTATAGAAGGGCTTTAGGAACGCAATAAAACCCAAAACAATTATTTTTAGAATTTTTGTGTTTCTCTGCACGTTTATGCAAGCTAACCTCAGAAAAGGCTTAACCGATTTGAATGCGGTTTTTATTAATGTATTACGGTTTTCTCCACTTGGCATTTATTGTTTGTTTTATTTCAAAGTTATAAAAAAGTTATATCAATCTAAAGAATCACATATACAATGCTATAAAATAACCGAACCGTTGAATTGGCTGAAACTTTATGAAGGTATTAGGTACGTAATTATCATTTAAGTATATAATACAATATAAGAACGGATTCATGAAGAGTTCCAATGGGATTGATATAAGGGAACTACATAGAAGCGAGCAACGCCGCGGGAAACGGCTAGTCAATTAATAAAAACGTGCGTTACCTGTCAAAATCCAAACATAAATAAACAATTCTACATAATTGTCATGATTATTTAAAATGAGTTTTTAATAGCGATAACATATGTGATAAGATTATTGATAATCTATCAATTGAGTTTTGGAATTTGACGGTTCAAATGTATTTGGAAACTTAGGAGGCACAATACGAATCAATTAAACATCAAATTTATTCCTATATTCATAATTAGTAAGAGACTACAGCATGGGGTTCTTCAAAAGGGGGGTAAAGAGTTTATTCTGGCTCGGCAACGCGCGCGTAATACCTCTGGTATTGCAGCCGTTCATAGGCTCCGGTAACCGCTAACCATCAGGTAGGCTGTATGCTTGTTTGCCACTTCAGTGGTATAAACAGAAAGTACTACCTTTTTGCCCCTTACTTCGTATGCGTGGATTTGAGAAGTAGGAAAGCCAATTAAATAGGCCACTGTATATGGCGTATCAAAATAAATCATACACCAGATTTTAAGTTCAGAAACACAATTGTGAAAATCGCATTCAGCACTGCACCAGTTTGGTGCAGTTTTTGCGCGATGCCGGAACTAACAAACATAAAGACAGACAAAATTATTGTTTTGACTTCTATTGCTTCTGTATCTCATAATACCTTATATTTTTCAACCGACTTCAAAAAAAGGAAGTTCTCAATTCTTTCTTATTTTTATGTTTGTTACCTCATAACTCAGTGAGTTCGTACCTTATAATATTACATCTATATCATCATTATTCTCATATCAGCCCTCAACTGTCCACTGAACTTAAGCCTAACAAAGCCTGGGTTTTGCTAGTAGTTGTCATATTGGCAGGCAAGTTACTGAAGTGCTGAACATAGGCAACATAAGCCTGTCCCCATAAGGGGGTTTTGTCAGTAGTTGTCCATATCGACTACAGAGAACTAAAAAATCGAAAAGCAAAAGGAAATGACCGTTATTATTGATGCATATGTATTACATAATTGTAGGTACTCGTTAGTTAGTTGAATTTAATTCGTTCGAACCGCTTTGCAATCCTATTAACTTTATAAATGCGCAAGTTTGTAAGAATAGGTGTTTGTTACTCTATCACGCAAAAACTACTAAACCGCTTGGCAGGCGGGTTGGTAACCACAGTTAAGCTTTGGAAATGTTTTATGGACGCCGCTGCCCATACTTCGCCCTCCTTAGTCGCCTCTTACGACACCCACGGGAAAGAAAAGGGTGGCCTATTTTATGCCGGGACCATACAGGAATTACATCAATATACCACTGTTCAAACCGTGATAACCATGCAAATACAAGTGCTTGGCAGCAGAAATACCAATTAGATAAAGGTATCCATGCGGAGAATTTTTCACAATACTCTATGGCTAGTGTATTAGTAAACTTGTCAAATACGTAAGCGACACTTCTTCAGGACGACAAACGTAATTGGGTTGGTATATTAAGCAGGCAAAATTGCAAAATCCCCAGACGCATTTGGGGTGGTACATTAAATATTAAACAATGGCAAATTTTTAAAATCCCATTGTACTATGGGCTCATACCATACTAGCTTATCGCTCACATCGTATGCGTGGATTTTAGAAACAGGAAAAACAATGAAATAAACTACTCCATAGATTGACCATCGCCGTGAAATATATTTTAATTTAGTCATTCAGGAATACAGTTGTGAAAATCGCATCCATACTGTGATTTTTCACAAGCGCTATTTGTAACAGTTTTAGGGAAATAACAGTTTCAACGTATGATTTTGCATTACAAATATAATATCACATGCTACTAGGAAATATTTCAAAGTTACCTCAAGGTATCGCGTTCTAGTCACAGCTGAGTAGCACTACGCACGTATTTGACAGGTTATATATTTTTTTTTTTCTAAGGTTAATATGTAGATATGTACAAGGACACTACCTGGGAGTGGCGAACTAGGGGTATTACCGGGTACGTTGAGGCTCGGCGCGAACGGTTTGATAGCTTTCGTCTGTTCCTCTGGGCTTCCATACTGGTCTAGAATTTTCTTCGCGACCTGCAAATATTTTCTATATGAGATATATTTTTTTAAATCCAATTTCAAACTTTGACGAAATCTGGGACGCAATGGTAGGGGCGTTGCCTTGCCAAAATGGGGTCCAGGGTTCGATTTCAATAGCAGATTTACTTTTGAATCTAATATGATATCAATCCAATCTATTGCAAATAACAATTTTGTGCTACACTCATGAAAAAACAAGAATTAGGTTAGAACTGGGATCGGTTTTCAATAGTTTGCATTGGCAAGTTGCACTAATATACGTCTATTAGAACAATGTGGAACTATTATGTCGCTATGTTGCAATCCGAGAGTGCGATACGTCTTAACCCTTTGCACTCGAGGCCTTTTTCGCTTGCAATATAAGCAGAGCCTAGTCCACGAAAGTACTTCCGAGAAAACTATCTTATCGCATATTGTAAATAAGGAGATCCAGTTACAAAAGACCATAGCGTCGTAGCAGCGTAGTTCGATTTAAAGTTTTAAAACACTCGGGCGCCGCAGCAGCGCCGCTCGAGTTGCCACTTCGAATCGGCCGGGCGCCCACCTGATGGATTCCAATATTGAACTATTGGAATTAATTTCCAGAGTAACACCACAAGTCAATGTAGGACACGAAATTTTCTATATTGGCTATGAGTGAAGTTCTGAGTGGACGCCCGCATATTTGTTGCCCTGTTCCTCATAATACAGCTAAAAGGCTCGGCAATTGTTATGTTTGTATAGCATTAAAAAGAATTGACAGAATTATATAACACGAAGGGTTGTTTATTGTTGCGTTGCTGACATTTTAAATATTTGTGGGCACGAAAATATAAAATACGTAAATATAAAATCTTTAGAAAAAATATTTACGCTTATTTTTATGCTTTATCCAAGCAGTAATTACTATTTCTTATCTTCGTGGAAAATATAGTAAACATTATGTCTGTAAGTATATTTGTTATTTATATATATATTTATTTGTGTATATATACCGCATTCGAGTATTGTAACACTGTCCTAAGGTTGACTGGGAGAGAATGCTTTTAGCATTAAACCCGCCTTGTATACAGGTATAAATGAATATATAAATAAAATAAATATAGACTAATTGATATAGCTTTAAAAAAACTTCGATACCTTGTACGTTTCAGTGTTCATGACCTCTTCTAGAATCTTCTTCTTCTCCGCCTTCATCTGTGTTAGTTTCATTCTGTTCTTGACTATCGATCGTTTATAATACCACCGTATGGTAGACCGGAGAAATATTGCTCTGCGGACAAATTATTAATATTTAATCATTTAAAGCATTGCCGTGTGGTCCCGGCATAGAATGGACCATCCCTTCCCTTTCGGTGGTTGTCGTAAAGGAAACTAAGGGAACTTAATGGTCAAGGGGTGGACAGCAGCGTCCCTCTTAAAATATCACCAAAGTCTATCTGCGGTTGCCAACCCGCCTACCAAGTGTAGCAACTACTGGCAAAGCCCCTTACCAGGAAGAGGTATATATTCAGCAATAGACAGTTAACTGCCGATATAATGATGAAGAAGTATCATCACATAATATACGTGCAAATAAAAAATATTATTATTATGTCCATCTTCCATCCATTATAAAGCAACTTCTAAAAGTTGCTTTAAAATGGACATAAAATATAAAGGATTCCTTTTTTGAAAACGATAAAAAAGTAAACAAGTATAAGTAGGCGACGGTTACCACTTTCCATCAGGTGGGCCGTCAGCTTGTTTGCCATTCTAAGTTGCATAGAAAAAGTATATAAAACTTACACAATAGGGAAAACGACGAACGGCGAGGCGTACATAACCGAATGCACCCAGTGCTGCCCTCTGCCCATGTAGACGTAATAGTACAAAATCAGGAAGAGAACGTAAAGGCCGACAGAGTACGCGTTCACGTAGTTATTGAGACGTTTCTGTGTCTCCATATAAGACAAATCGTCCTCCTCGATGCTTCTTATCTGCATTTCAAGTTTCTCTAATATTTCTGATGTTGTTTTCTTGCGCTGTAACAAAACAATAAGTTATGGTCTTCATTCTAAAAAAAAAAATATACCACTGAGATGGCAATAAACATATGGCTAACCTAAACCTGATGATAAACGACAATCCCTTTCCCCCCATCAGGCCATTCTAAGTTGCATAAAAAAACTTGTGTAAGTTTAGTGATATACAATATTAAGTTATCATCGAACTAACACCTATATACAGGGGGAAAAGGGATTGTTAGTAATGGAGACTGAGAATCCTATTGCTAGCAATATACTATGAATATATATATATATACTGTGAATACCTATAATAGGCATGTGCATTAATATTGTATTGTATTTAATGTTGTTATACCTATATGTTATAATGCAATATGCTGTTGGTGTTCCATAAATAAATAAATAAATAAATAAATATACCCAACCAGGTCGACCTCCTCGCGGTTCTCCCTGGAAACTATCATGGTTAATTCCTGATGAATTCATCATGATGGGCTAACTGGCCTGTTTTCATTCTCATCTATCACCCTTCACTGGTGCTCCGCCAGCTTATCCCGTTAGCGCAGGAGGGGTTACCATACCATTTTCACCCATAAAAAAAAAACACCTATATACATACAAACAATACAACACCTACATACCATGTTTTTCGCAAATAAATAATAATCATTCATTCGAATCATTCTAAGATGTTTCGTAAAAAGTTGAACAGTTTTAAAATGCTTTTTAAACAGACTTATTAATAAATGATAATGAAATAGTTACCCCAGCCTGCGCTATCGGTATACGCTGGCGGAGCACCAGTGAGATTATGATAAGTGAGTACAAAAAGGTCAGTTGGACAATCATGACAAATTTAAAAAGAATTAATGCGACGAATGAATGAATTGTTTTCTACGAAGACCGCGTGGAGGTCGACCTGACAGGGTAACTTGCAATAGGACCGCTAGTCTACTAACAATTCCTTCCCCCAATGACAAAATTATTACGGAAACAATACAGAAAAAAAAATTATATACTACAAAAAGAATACTTTGAATCGCTTCAGTATTGGAATAAAAATATCACACGATAGAACAAAACAATACATACGAATTGAGAAACCGCTCCATTCTGAAGTCCCTTAAAAACCGAAATCTGTCAAGTACTAACTTCTTGTATTCTCATACTTAATTCCATAAATAAGAAAAAAACATTATTTCCTTCGAAAACGTAATAATGTCTGAGTTCCACAAATTCCGAACTGCCGATGTAATATGTTCATTAAAAAAAACGGATACACTTACATAATATGTTTATTGAAAAAAAAAACGGATAAATTGAGAATCTACTCCTTTAGAAAGTCTTTTAAAAACTCCATTTGAATACTAGCATAGAATGGAATAAACAAGGAAAACCTAAAAAAATACCATAAACTTGATAATGATGGTTTAATTTTAACCTTGTGCCTTCGTTTTACGGGTTAAGTTAACCGCAAACTTGTTTCGTCACGGTCTACTTAATGCAGACGAGACTTTCAAATTTGAAGAAAAATTACATTGTAGTTAATATGTATGGTTTTTTTTTTTTTTATAATAATTCAATTCTTGTTGTGGGAATGTCTCAAATATAATTTAAATCATGTTATCTTCATATCAGCCATTGACTGTCCACTGCTGAACAAAGACCTCCCTTAAAAAGGGGAATTTTACCAGTAGTTCCTACGCTTGGGTTGGTTTTTTTTTTAATGTGTGATAATGAAATGGTAACCCCACCCGCGCTATCGGTATACACCGGCGGGGCACCAGTGAAGGATGATAGGTGAGGATGAAGCCGGTCAGTCAGCCCATCGTGACGAATTCAACAAGAATTGTTCACGATGGTTTCCAGGGGGAACCACGTGGAGGTCGACTTAATAGGGCATATTGCTAGCAATGGGGCTGTCCAACTCCATTGCCAACGATCCCTTTCTCCCCGCTTGGGTTGGGTTTGACAACGACAGTTCTGTTCATGTCTCGACTATTAAATTCTCTTAGTCACCTCTTACGACAACCACAGGAAAGGAGTTGCCCATTCTATGCCGGGACCAAACACCGTAATTTAAATACTTATAATGGAATCAACACTGGGATGAAAAAAATATATAGGAACAGAGTACTTTATTTTTGAAATCACCTAAAAAAAAATTTCTTGCTAATATAACAAAATTGAAGACCTATGTTCAGCAGTGGATAGAAAATGGCCGAGATGATGATGATGATGATGATGATAACAAAATTGTGACGACTTTATATTTGTACATATGAGATATTTAAGAAAAAATTATATATAAGTGAAACAGAAGTCCAAATAATATTTTTTCAAAAATTAATTTGTAAGTTTGCTCCGGCATAACGCAAAAATCACTGCACCATATTGGATGCAGTTTTTTTTTCAGATATGCAGGTCTAAATTTATTTTATACCATAAAAGTGGTAAACAAGCATACAACCCATCTGATGGTAAACGGTTAATGTAGCCTATGGATGCCTGCAACAACTTAAACAATGACGTATCAAAATAAAATATACAATTTAAACTTTGTTGTATGTCTTATTTAAATATGTCCTATACAAGTGGGCTATTTTAGTTTAATTTAATACTACTGAAATACGGATATACTATGTAGCGGGTAAAAAGCTAATTCCATATCACAGATAGATACTCTTTATTGTTTCCTCCATAAGATTACAATAGTAAATTTATTATATAATAAATACAATTACAAGAAAATATTACACTGAGAAAATGCGATAATGCTGTACATAAATACTATTATAGTTTTAAAGATTTTAAAGGCGAGATAATATTTTAAAATTATGGTCGACAAAAAAGAAATCGAGATGAATAAAGACAAAAACAATTGTTCTGATAAAAAAAAGTCATTTCTATTTCAGAACTAAACTATTGAACCGATTTTGATAAAATTTCTATGATTTTTCAATAATTTCAGATAAAAAAAAAAGAATTTTCTAAATCGGTTCAAAACTAACATAGTTATGAGGTACGAAACATAAAAAAATTACAATCGAATTGTAAACGTCGTTCTTTTCGAAGTAGTCCTTCGAAATCGGTTGAATACATTCTCATTTCTAATATTAATAAGGATATAGTCAAAAGTCGATTGCTTGGGTACCTCTTTCCCATTCGTGTTTCAACCGTGAAGCAGTTGTGTTTGCAAGGCCGTTTTTCGGTTTGAAGGGTGGGATATAGCGTAAATTTACTGGGTACAGAGGAATAGCACCTGAGTCCTCAGGAATAGCAACGCATGGGGGGTATCATGGGCGAAACAGTATACTCTGTTATGTCCATGATACTGCTCATGTCTATAGGCAACGGTTACCACTTTCCATCAGGTGGGCAGTCAGCTTGTTTGCCATTTTAAGTTGTATAAAAAATAATATAGAAGACCGCAATTAAAATGACTTTGATAGAAGATCCATCTTTATTATCAGGTACACAAGGACGTTCACGTACTGTATACATAACCACGAAATGAATATGTAACAGCTGAACTAAACCGACAATGCCAATAGGTCGATATCGAATGGCTAACAGATCAAATGGTCAGCGCCGGAATAAATTATTCAAGGATTACATTAGCCAAAACAATTGTGTGGGGATAGATGATTTGCTTGAGGTGGTTGAGCCGGGGTCATTTCCATAAAAAATATTTTTGTAATACACACTCCAAGTATAATGGTATTTTATTAACGACTGTTAATAAAAAAATGTTTTAAAAATCCAAAACCCGCAAATTAAATTGGAATGTTGCTCACACCGATAAATCAGTTTTAAAAGAATATATATAAATTTGGTAAAATTTTGTACGTTTTGTCTTAGTGTGTGTTACGTTTATACAACATAGACTGTAAGAGCTATTTACGAATAAATCGTTCTGAAATACGATATCAATGGCATGGTAGTTAAATAGACCGCTTTACTTCCACTGTTGAACATGGGCCTCGCTCATAAGGGAAGTTTTCTTAGGAGTTACCACACTGCAGGTTGGCAATAACAGGCTTTGGTGATGTTTAAAGAGGGCAGCAGCTGCCCATGTCTCGACCATTATGGTCCCATAGTCGCTTCTTACGACACTTACAGGAAAGGATGGTGTGGCTCATTCTATGCTGGGACAATACGACTCTTGATGTAATCGATTGTATCTCGGTGTAATAAAAATGTAATCAGTGAAAACGGTTCGAGATTGATCGAAATGGGATTGAACTGTAGTTTGAATGTACACATTGTTTTTTATGTAATAATATTTTACTAGATCGAGATCTAGTGCAGCGCTATAGTACGGATCCGGCCTTACCGTCCGATGGTCGCGGATTCGATTCCCAAACTACAAAATGATCAGTTTTTATGTTTGTATTGGTCTTAGTGTTTTCTATCTTAACTATTATTATAAAGAGGAAAGATTTGTTTGTTTGCTTGTAATGGATAAACTAAAAAACCGTACTAAATCAAATAAAAAATCAAAATAAAACATTTTTTGAAAATTATTTCATCAAAAGCTACATTATTAGTCAGTAACACGGACTGTTGGCACTGACACTGGACTGGCCATGTGATTCCGGCATAGTATAGGTCACCCCTTCTTTTCCTGTGGACGTCGTAAGTGACTAAGTGAGAGCGAAGGATGGGCAGCAGCATCCCTCTTAAAAGATCTCTAAAGCCTAACTACGGTTGCCAATCAACCTGCCAAGCGTGGCAACTATTGGCAAAACCCCTTCAAAGAGGAGGCTTATGTTCAGCAGTGGACAGTTAAAGGCCGATATGATGATGACGATGATGGACTTTTATATTATTTATAAAAAAAAAACTGTTCCAAACTGGGACGGGTCGCAAATTTGACTATGAAACTGGCTTAGGTTCCAACCGAAGTCGCATGCATCAACTAGTGAATAACCAGTAAATACCAGCCTAGTCATAACAAATACCTATCTATATCATTAGAGCGAACATTTCGAGAGAAAGTGAAAGTGGTCATGATTTCGCTTTATTTCTAGACCCACGCTTTGGTCGACTTTTGGAGGAGGGATAGGTACTGTACCTATCACCTTAGATAATATATCTACGTGTAAGTGAAACTCCGAACATCAATAATAAGTTCTGTTTCACAAAAAAAAAACTTAGATTTCAACCGTATCAAGACGGGGGAGGGGGGGGAAGGGATTGTTAGTAATGCGGACTACCAGTTCCATCACTAGCGATATACCCTATCTGGTCTACCTCCACGCGGGGGGACCTGGAAACCATCGTGTTGAATTCTAGGTGTATTCCTCACAATGGGCTAATTGACCTGCCTTTTTATTCTTATCTATTATCCCACACTGGTGCCCCGCCAGCGTATACCGTTAGCGCAGACCGCGTTTCCATTCCATTATCGTCCATTAAAAGAAACCATAACAAGTCTATATTGACGTAATTTTGATTTAAAAACCGAAGTACTAAACTGATTTTTTTACCAGAGGGAGACTTTGTACAAAAGTCGATTGCTTGAGTACCTCTGTCCCATTCATGTTTCAACCGTAAAGCAGTTGTGTTTGCACGGCTGTGTTTCGATTTGAAGGGTGGGATATGAATATATAAGGAATGGCAATGCATGGGGGTTATCATGGGTGAAACAGTACACTCTGTTATGTCCATGATACTGCTCATGTCTATAGGCGATGGTTACCACTTTCCATTAGACGGGCCGTCGGCTTGTTTGCCATTCTAAGTTGTATAAAAAAAATATTTTAATAATATTTCTATGATATCAATCTGAGAGTTAAATTTTCAAATAAAAGAACATTCTTCCAACACAGTTTATTAATGAGGGAGTTTTGAGGTACCAAACATAATTTGAATTGAGAATAGCCTCTTTTTTTATGTTGGTTCAAAAACTGATCCATAATCATCATTCTATATACCAAATTCGGAATAGCACAAATTAATCATGATTTTTTTTTATTATGAATCAAATATTACAACTCAGGACAGACTATATATTAGTACCCATAATAATAGGTTTTCCCATAAAATGTTATAAAAGTGAGGATGGTTCTAGAAAAACACTGACACAGAATTATATGAAGAATAAACAAATTCAAACAAAAAAGAAATTGTGAAAATTATTTAAGAATTAACGACATAATTAGATAACAATACAAAAATAATTCAGATTAATTGAGAATAAAATGACGGTTTTATTCAAAGTGTCTTAAAAATAACACAGCATCACTGAACCTTTGATGAAAGAGTTGGACTCGTAACTGCTGAGCTTATCAGTGAATATTTATGATCCATCAATCATGCAGGGCACTTGAGTCGATCTATTTTTATGCTAATAGCTTGTGGATTATCTTAACTCATGTTATAAAAATGAAAGATTTGATTATTTGTTTGTAATGTATAAAGTCAAAAACAACTTTCACTTGCTTATCCAGCCACTAATAATCTAAACCAATTAGGTATAAGGTAAATGTGAATAGGCTATTTATGGTCCTGGAAGCTCTATCATAGACCACATCATTGCTTTCCATCAGGTGAGATTGTGATAAATTGCAGGACACTTCCATGGTAAAAAAAAAAACATAAAAATACTTTTACCTATAGAAAGCTACATTATCAAGATTAACAAGGAATAACAATGAAAATATTTGGAAACTGGAAAAATATTACTTATGTTTTCTATGTTTTCCTACTGTTTTTTCTGCTTCCACAAATGTTCCTGGGTATGAAAAGACTTATGGCAAGGTCATAAAGTATTTTGATCCTCAGTATCTAATTATACAAATTATTATCAAAATAATTGTTCATACCTTTTCTATATAAATATTATAAAGAGGAAAGATTTAATTGTTTGATTTGAAAGATTTAATCTCAAAAACTACTCATTTGATTTAGATTTGATTTAGATATATAATAGAGAGCTATATTATAGTTGAATAACATTGGCCTATATATTATTTTCGAAAATTCTGTCTACCAATGCGAAGCTGGTCCAGATCATTAGTATTTTATAAAACCATTACTTTTCTTCTCTGATTAATAGTACCATAGGCATCAGTTTAAGAAAACAATGTGCTATTCTCTCATGTGACGTAATTATAAATATTAATTTCAAAAGAATACTTTTATTGACACTTCCAACATTCCAACTGGGGAGAAGAAATAGTAAAGGAGTCCTAACAGGCCTATTACTAGCAATATAAACTATCAGGTTCCCCCTGGAAACCATTATGGTTAATTCATATGAAACATGTCACATTGGGCTAATTGACCTGCTCCCTTCCTCACCTTTCATCTCTCACTAATACCAGTATATACCAATAGCACAGGCAGGGTTACCATTCCATTTACATCTATAAAAAAAAATTTCAACTAGTTGATATGTTTAGATAACAATTAATTTTACAATCAAAACTTTGTTATTTTAGTGTTAATAATGTACAGTAACATTGATAAAGTTTTAATTCATTATATAAAAGTGCCAATGTAAAAGACTAAGCAAATTAAATAGACAGTGATCAAGTCTATATAGAGCAACTAGGTACTGTTTTTTCTTAATTTGTATGAAAATCAGCTGGTACTTTGTATGTAAATGTAGTAGTTATATATTAGCGATGATTCTTTTGTTAGATATTACAAATAATATAAGTAAAGGAAACAATAATTATTGGACAAAAGGTTAATGGGAATAAATGCACTGTATGAACAATTAAAAATTAATTAATAGGTCACGACCAAAGATTTGAATTCCCGCCAAAAAGTATCTAAAATAACCATCGCAATAGATTTTGGCTAAAGTACAAAATGTATTCGACTATTTTTTTGTTTATAATACTTACTCGAAATCTTGTTAGAAATCCGAAGAACCCCATTTTTTATTCAACTCACAATAACAAATAATCGACAGGTATCCCTCGTAACACTTATTTAATTTCTGTCGATTCGGTTTCGACGTCTAAAAATAAGTTTGGCATAAATAATTGTGATGACGAATTAGATAGATCGCCGACTTTCTAACCTATAACACTTGTAGGACTTAGAAAATGTTCCTTGAACGGTAATTAGAAATTGAATCAAACACCCATAAATGTTATTAGATATAGTACACAACTTTTCTAGATCTAGCACGTCATCGAAACAAATAAAAACGCGTTCAGAAAAACATTTCGCATTCGACAAGCAAAACGACAAAAGAAATAAGTGACAGTACCAGTGTTATCAACTCAACTATAAGTTTTCGGGATTAAAATTTTTTTTATTAAAAAATTAAGATTTATTAAAAAAAAATTGCAAATTTTTTTTTATATTTTCAGTTACTTATTAAAAAAGAATTATATATTGGTAAAAAATAATTTATATATAACTTACTATTAATTTATATTTAATTTATAAAATACGGATTAACTTTTTTACTAATGCAGATTTTGTTGGTCAGAGTAAAAACAGGTTTTATATATAATTACAAATATTTTATAATAATACTAGCGGTACTGGTACATGTTTCGCTACGTATAAAATGAAATAATAAAAAAAAATTATAATTTTGACATCAAATTCATTTATTCAAACAAAAATCGCTAAAAAGCCGAAAAAAGTATACGCACACATATACATAGTATAACATTTGAACAATTCAAGACTCGCCGTTTGTATGAATGCACTCAATAATATGTTTAAAAATATAAACTTTATAAATTAGTATAATTATACTATAACGATTTTTAATATCTCCAAAATATTTTTTTTTCATAACATTTTAAATTGAAATAAATTTAGAGCCAAGGGCAATATAAATCAAAATATGTACTATAAACTGAATGAAAAGAAAGAAGGCTAGATATTACCACGAAAATGTAAATTGGCAACACTGTTGACACGGTTGACGTTGACAGTTCTTTGAAAAGCTTTTTTTTCTTAATGATTTTTATGTCTTGGGATTCTTCATACAATAATTTTTATTTTTTTGTCATCTTATAAATCTTAATTCGAACTTTATGAAGTTCAATTGTGAGTACTAAACTTTTAATCCTAAAAATCCTAATGCCATTTTCTTATTATACTAGCTGTATACCGAAGCTTTATCCGCGTGTATAGTACCCTATGTATAAGTTAGAATATAATCCGACCAGAGGAAGACTTTGTACAAAAGTCGATTGCTTGGGTACCTCTGTCCCATTCCTGTTTCAACCGTGAAGCAGTTGTGTTTGCATGGCTGTGTTTCGGTTTGAAGGTTGGGTTATGGCAGTGAATTTACTGGGTACAGAGGAATAACACCTGAGTCCTCAGGAATGGCAACGCATGGGGGGTATCATGAGTGAAACAGTATACTCTGTTATGTCCATGGTACTGCTCATATCTATAGGAGACGGTTACCACTTTCCATCAGGTGGGCCGTCAGCTTGTTTGCCATTTAAAGTTGTATAAAAAAAAAAATCTAATCGCACATGTGTAACAAATTATATTCGAATCTGTCCAGTAGTTTTTGTGTGAAAGATTAACGGACATCCGTTCATTCGTCCTTATAAACTTTCGCATTTATAATATTAATAGGATCATTAGTAAAGGATTATTACATTCAGTAAATTAATCGGCTTTTGATTCGTTCTACTGTTGGACATCAGCAGAGCATCTTACGGACTGGTTAATTATTTAATTGTTTACATTTTCGTTAGGTCCTATTGAAACAGGCCATGGTACATACGTTGACCTTAATTAAAAAAAAAATTGACGATATAAAATAATGTAATTGGTATTAAACAAGTAAAATTTACTGGTAGGTACTTTAATAATTTTAATATAATATCAATAAAATATTATACCTATCTACCTATTATATTACAGTATTGGTGTTGATCGTAGATTTATTTTTTCGTATTTTTATAATTTTTTTTTTATTAAAAAAAAGTTAACAATCCCTCCAATCACTAGTGTAACATTTCAACGTCGTGACATCCGCCGCGTCCGGGCCGTCCTGGCGACCGTCAGAATCCACACACCTGCAAAGGCCCCGACGACATTGAATCCTTCTGAAGTTGCCATTTTTACAGCACACTGGCTTCTCTGTCGATTTAGACATCACGAGGGATGTCTCGGCACATTCTGCAAAAAAAAAATATTTAATTGTGGATGTCCTTAATTATTTTTTTAAAGTGAAAGTTCTTGAACAAGAATTTTTTGTATACGCTATTTCTCAGCCGATTTTGATAATTATTTTTGTTTCCATGTCCATTGTAAAAAAATACTCAACAAATTAATAACGAAGCGGTTTGTAAGTTTTTAAAACTCATTCAAATAAGACAGGCATTATTTACATTCATAACTCCTTTAAAAATATATTTAGAATAAGGAATCGCGTGTCTTTCTAAAAATAGTTTTTTTTTTTTTTTTATGCAAAGAAAAACAGTATCGTCTAAAAATTATATATGGGATCAATAAGGGAAATCCTTTAACTTCGTAAACTTGCGTTTCGTGAGACATAAAAAAAAAAACAGACAAACCGAGAACCGTGGAAGTCGTTTAAAAAGTAATAAGATATGTCGCTCATACAAGGTGTACTTACTGCAATTCATAGAATTGTACTCAGGAGTATATGGCAGTGCTTCGTAACCATCGATTTGATGTCCACGATCGTCCACGCAGATTTTCCTAAAAGTAAATATGAAATAAATATAAACCAAATTTCATTAAAACTATTACAAAAACTTAATGGTTGAGGGATGAACAGCAGCATCCCTGTTAAAACATCACCACGTCCTAACTGTGGTTGCCAGAGGGGAGAAGGGATTGTTAGTAATCGAGATTAGCAATCCCATTGCTAGCAATATACCCTAATAAGTCGACCTCCACGCAATTCCCCCTAGAAATCACCGTAATTGATTTATTGTTGAATTCTACCGAAACGGACCTGTATGCTCTTTTTCTTTTTAATGGTTGATAATTGAATGGTAACCCCACCCGCGTTAACGGTATACACCGGCGGGGCACCAGTGAAGGATGATAGGTGAGGATGAAGCAGGTCAGTTAGCCCATCGTGACGAATTCAATAAGAATTGTTCACGATGGTTTCCAGGGGGAACCATGTGGAGGTCGACCTAATAGGGCATATTGCTAACAATAGGGCTGTCAAACTCCATTGCTAACAATCCCTTCCCCCCCCTCCCCCGACCTGTACGCATCCTCATCTATCCACTTCCACTGGGGCCCCGATCAATTCCATTATCAACTATTAAAACTGTTATTCTCTGGAATCATAGATTAAATGTTCTACATGACAGGGCGGGTAAAATGACTTTTATAATTATTATTTTAAATTAAACACAAAGTAACCGAGGAGCGTCCATTTGTATCTTTTTTTTTTTAAATAGTGTTGCCATCTACAATTGCAATGTCCAACTGAATGAGATAGGGATGTCGTATATGCAACATTAAGGATAATACTTTCTGAAATAGAGGTAATGATCTTATTTGGAAGAGATTGCTTAGCAATAAGGCCGCCTTTTGTATCACTTCTCATAAATATTTACTATATTATTATGTTTAGCACTACTGCTACCCACTCACTACTTCCTATGCCACTGCGTTAGATTGACTGGAAGAAATCTCTTTTAGAGATAAGTTCGCCTTTGCTAACATTGTTATTAACTTATTGTTGTTACTGTATGTTTTAGTTTAATAAAGAATATATATATTTATTATTTTTTACTTGGTGCAATAAAGTGTATTTTTTTATACCACTGAGGTGGCAAACAAGCATACGGCCCACCTGATGGTAAGCGGTTACCGTAGCCTATGAAAGCCTGCAATACCAGAGGCATTATGCGCGCGTTACCGACCCTGAAGAAACCATCCCCTTTTGAAGAAACCCATGCTGTAGTCTTGGGAAAAATAAATAAATAAATAATAGCAATACATAATGGACGTTATGGCAGTCTATGGGGGAGGCTTATGTCCAGCAGTGGACGGATAATGGCGGAAATGACGATGATGATGATAATAAAGGATAGTACCATAGATATTATATTATTATTATTCCAAATTGTATAAGAAACTCACGTTCCATTACGCGTCCTAGCTATCCTGCCATACGTTCCGTCTGGTAGACACTCAGGGATTGTATTGAAGTAATCCATGTTATATCCGTCCTTTTCACTCTTAAGAATAAGATTTATCGTCTCGTTCATTTTGTTAAAGCACGGAGTTGTGTAATTGTATGGCGGTTCGCCGGTGGACTGCTCAGGAAATAGGTCTAAGTTGCGGTTATCTAAAAAGATCTTTCGATAAATAAAACTAAAGAATACTATGTAAGCAAAATTAAGAATTGTATAGAAATTTTAATAATTAAAAAAATACAACCAAATTAAGAACTTTCTTTTTTCATTCTAAATTCCATTAAAACAGCTTTGTTATTTATACTACAAAGGTAGCAAATAAACATACAGCCCGTCTGATGGTAAACGGTCACTGTAGCCTATCGACGCCTGCAACACTAGGGGTGTCACGTGCGTGCACTTGAAGAAACTTTAATATACCTTTTTCAAGAACCCCATACTCTAATATCTTGTTAATAAATACTTACAACAAGTCAAATTAGCTATGGGCTCCTCGTTCAAATCGATCTTCATCTTTCCATGTCCATGCAAAATCTCCCCTGTGATTGTGTCCACACAATAACACATGTTATTTACACATTGTATAGGGTTGAAATTGCCATCAGACGTACAACGAGGACCAATCACCGGTAGCCGAACGCCAGGACTGATGCTTCTCCTCATCCTTTCGTGGAAACGGGAACAACCTGATGGAAATATAATTTAAACTTAGATTATATAGATAGAGTGTCTCCATACAAAATCTTCAAGAAAAGTGGGTGAAATTTTTCATACAAATTTTGCGAGATAAATAGTTATGAGTGTTTCCTTTGTCACTTTTACGCGTAAAAAAATATTTTATTTATTAAATAATTAAATATAGATACATCAATATATATTATGTGCGTAAGTACATATATAGAACATTGACATAAAACGAGTCAGCTAATTTGACAATTAGTTGACAAAAAGTTGACTCGTATTTGAGACTCGGTGCTCTATCTATATAATCTAAGAATTTAAGATGATGTTCCACAAAAGATACTAAGTAGATAAGATAGATAGATACTCTTTATTGTTTCCTCCAAAAGATTACAATAGTAAACTTATTATAAATATAAATAACTAGCGGCCCGGTACGTGCTTCGTTACGTATAAAGTTAAATAATAAAAAAAATTTGAAAAGTATATTAAAGTTGATAATATAAACACAAAACAATAATTATCGCTGACAATTTGCTTTAATCGAAGCACGTCTAAATTGAAATGACCGCATGAATGACATAACAACGTGCTTGTACTGTCAACATTGAAAAAAGTTTAATTTGACAGCACAATCCCCATCTTAAAAAAAGTTTGAATTTGACACAAAAATCCCCATTAACAAAATGATCCGCCATTTATTGAATTCATTGTTACAAAAAATGTGATACATGAAGAACCGCTCGACTGATTTTGTGCAAACTTCACATAAACCATCTACATAGTCCGAACAAAGCCTAAACATGTGGTTTGGATAGGTGAGTCCGTTCTTGAGTTATAAAATTACAACGAAAAGTGGCATTAATTTATATATATATATATATATAATTTATATTATTATATATATATATATATATATATATATATATATATATATAATTTATATATATATAAATTAATGCCACTTTTCGTTGTAATTTTATAACTCAAGAACGGACTCACCTATCCAAACCACATGTTTAGGCTTTGTTCGGACTATGTAGATGGTTTATGTGAAGTTTGCACAAAATCAGTCGAGCGGTTCTTCATGTATCACATTTTTTGTAACAATGAATTCAATAAATGGCGGATCATTTTGTTAATGGGGATTTTTGTGTCAAATTCAAACTTTTTTTAAGATGGGGATTGTGCTGTCAAATTAAACTTTTTTCAATGTTGACAGTACAAGCACGTTGTTATGTCATTCATGCGGTCATTTCAATTTAGACGTGCTTCGATTAAAGCAAATTGTCAGCGATAATTATTGTTTTGTGTTTATATTATCAACTTTAATATACTTTTCAAATTTTTTTTATTATTTAACTTTATACGTAACGAAGCATATTATAATATAATATATAATATATATATATATATATATATATATATATATATATATATATATATATATATATATATATATATATATATATATATATATATATATATATATTAAATAAACAATTACAAGAAATAATCACAGTGAGAAAACAATGGGCGACCTTATCGCTAAAAGCGATCTCTTCCAGCCAACCTTTGGATGGAGAGGAGTAATTATAAACAATTTATAAACAAGTAATACACCAAACGTAGCAAACCCGATTATTTTGATTTAAAAACTAAATTATGGAATCGATTTTAATAAAATTGGGATCACACCTTTTAGACAACAAAGAATTTTCCAAAATGGTTTACAACTGACGGAGTTATGAGGTGACAACTAACTGATTGGTCCCATAGAAATTTAATCCAAATTAATTCAGTAATTTAGTTTTTAAATCAAAATAACTTGTTTCACCACAATTTTAATTATTTATACTTCATACCAACCACAATGCATATTTTGTTTCGTGTGCGTCCCCAAATATAATACTTCACCGAACAATCTTTCGCCTGCTTCGGACTGGCAGAAACATCTGGAAATTAATAAATTATTTATTTATTCATTAAAAATAATTAAAGATAAAGATATATTTATTTAATAAAGTATCTTTGTATTAGCACAGAATTAATCATTACTTCCTACACTAGGCTGAGCCTGTCCTGTAAGAAGCACTACTCGCGTTATCATATACATGCATATAGATATTAAACATAGGCTTTTTAGCAGCTTCAATTATAACACCATGACAGCAAAAGCCAAATCAATGGTATTTAACCCGACTCCAGATATTTCTGAGCCGTTTCTAACATCTTTGGCAGGCTACTACTAAAAATATCAATTATCTAACTTATAATAACAAATAAGCATTGCCTAAATGTTGAAAAAAAACATACAACTGTATTGAGAATCTCCTTCTTTGAAGTAGGTTGAAAAATGACAACAGCATTATGGGCAACACAGAATACACTGTGACGCCCGTAGTACTTTTACTCATTGGTATTTCCAACGACTATGTCTCCGTGTACTGTAATATTACGGCCATGGCCTTTCAAACCGAACAGCCTAAACTTGTGTGCTCAGCTGCTTAGTGATAAAAGCACAAGAAGGACAGAAATATCCAAGCAGATTTTTATACAAACTCTTGCTCTGGTAAAAAGGTAAACCCAGTGTTTTTTTTTTTAATACAACTTAGAATGGCAAACAAGCTGACGGTCCACCTGATGGAAAGCGATAACCGTCACCTATAAACATGAGCAGTAGCATGGACATAACAGAGTATACTGTTTCGCCCATGATATCTCCCATGTATTGTCATTCCTGAGGACTCAGGTGTTATTCCTCTGTACCCTGTAAATTCACGCCATATCACACCCATCAAACCGAAACACAGCTATGCAAACACAACTGTTTTACGGTTGAAACACGAATGGGACAGAGGTACTCAAGCAAACGATTTTTGTACAAAGTCTCCCTGTGGTAAATAGTGAAATGAAATGAATCATCAAAATGGATGATACATGTGTATTTAAAATAATATTTAATAGCAGTATATGAGAAACAGGATTAAAATGTAAATCAAAATATCGATAAATTGACATTACACCAAATAAAACTGCAGGTGATATAAGAAACTCCTCCTAATTTTAATTCACTTAAAAACAAACGTAATTATTAAAAAATAAAAATAACAACTTAAACTTTATTTTCCACATTAGTTTTGTTGGAGAAATCAGTTCAGGGTACAATAGGACTGATATACCTGAAGAAGGTAAAAGCCCTTAAAATATTAAAAAAAAAAAAGATTCCACACTATTCAACCGCCATATTGAAATTTAAAATATTATATATGTGTATATATATATATATAAATTCTCGCATACTAACAACACCATACACATTAAAATCGATTCAGGAATTTAACAGTTATAATGGAACAAAAAAACTAACATAAGTCAGTACATGAACCTTAAAAACATTACACTGCTTTTTGGACAGTCGGTAATCAGTGCGAAAATTACAGCGTATAACTTTTTAAAATCGTTTAAAAGTGACACTGCCATAGTTTTATTTTATAATTTTTATACACAGGAGGTAAACGAGCATGCGGCTCTTACCTGATGGTAAGTGACTACCGCCGCCCATGATCACCCACAACACCAACGGCATTGCAGGTGTGCTGCCGGTCTTTTAAAAAAGGAATATGCTCTTTTCTTGAAGGTTATGTTCTCGTATCGGTTCGGAAATACAGTTGCTGGAAGTTGAAAAAGTTTTTGACTTACGTCTGTGTAGGAATACAGGAGAATGTCGAGTAGTTCCCCTTCCCGTCGCAGTTCGGCCGTTCTTCCAGCACGCCTGTCTCTCCTCTCGTGTAACGGTCGTCATAATCATCTTGCGCCCTATGACACTCTGTGTCCACTGAAATTAGCCAAATATTTTTTTAATACATGATTATGAAGTAGCAATACAGCCTGTGCTAATAGGTATACCCAAGCGGAGTACTAGTGAGGATGAAAAGGCAGGTCAGTTAGCCCATCGTGATGAATACACCTGGAATACAACACAAAGGTTTCAAAGAGGCACCGTGTTGTGTGTTGTGGAGGATGACCTAGCTTGCAATACACCCTATATTGCTAGCAATATACTTTGTTAGATCGAACTCCCTGTGGTCCCCTTTAAATCCATCATGCTGTATTTATCCTGCCTTCATCCTCACCTGTGATCTCTTACTAGTGCTCCACCAGCGAATACCGGTAGCGCAGGCGGGGCTAGCATTCCATTAGCATCTATTAAAAATCCCTCATGCGTTGCCATTTCTGAGAACTAAGATGTTATATCTCGACAACTATTGATGTTTTTTTGAGTGCAGACGGGTTCCAGTGTTCGAGGAAGCCACGTCAGAGGCTTTGATGTTTTTTTAAATGCCACACAACCACACCAATTGTCTGATCTTTAAGTTAGAACACCCTGTGTTATGGGGAACCAGGCAACTAATATCTGAGGACACAGCCTAGAACACTCATGTCTTATATATTGGATAACCGATATGTAATATATCTGCTATGGGGGGAAAGGGATAGTTAGTAATGGAGACTGAGAATCCCATTGCAATATCGACAGGAAACTATCATGGTTAATGCCTGATGAATTCATCATGATGGGCTTACTGGCCTGTTTTCATTCTCATCTATCACCCTTCACTGGTGCTCCGCCAGCGTATCCCGTTAGCGCAGACGGGGTTACCATACCATTTTCACCCATCAAAAAAAAATCTGCTATTGAGTCAATATTATAACAATATATAGATATTGAAACATATAGATATTGCTGTATATTATCCAACCCTAGTGGTTACCGCTGGGGCACCGAGATCGTCTATAATTCGTACCTGGATATATTCAAAGTATTTATCTATTGTGATTAAGAACGTGTAAATGTGCTTCTTAACACTTACTTCTGGTACAGAAGCTGCCCCCGCTGCTAGCTGCCTCACAGGTTAATCCATCGCCACATCTACCGACGGTGGTTCCTGTACCAGGCCCGCCAAGACTGCAGTGGTGGTTTTCACCTGTAAAATTTTAATATATCAAGCATTATATTATGATACTAGCTGACTCGGCAAACTTTGTTTTACCATATACATTATTTCTAGAGCTATACATAAAAATATATCGTACTACAATTATTATATTCGATTGTCATCTTACAACCATATTGCGGCATATAAAAATCACGTTAAAAAAATAGGAGTTGATCATAAAAGGGTAAAAATTTAAAGTTGCATGTATTTTTTATGCTAAATCATAATAACTAAAAATTAAAAAATTTGTAAAAAACATTTAAAAAAAATTAGGGGTGGGCCATCCTTATTAAAGTGGGGTATGAAAAATAGATATTGGCCGATTCTCAGACCTCCTCGATATGCACACAAAATTTCATAAAAGTCGTTTCGGAGGACTTTGATAACAAACACCGCGACATGAGAATTTTATATATTAGATATGCACTTATATCCTGGCCTTACAACTTGTCATGACATATATAGTCTGCATTGATATTATTAAATGTTTTGTCGTAAAGCTGTCTTGTTCATCTATCTATACATATAATAAAATCGTAATTGGTCGCTGTCTGTACATAGAAGATATATAAGAAAAACAATATTTTTTTGAATTTTTGTTTATTTGTCTGTACGTTTATGCACCTAAACCGACTTGACTACAGCATTGCGGATTGTTCCACTTACCATTTAATTTTTATTTTATTTCAATCGGTTAATAAATAAAAAAGTTATATCAATTTAAATAATCATATGTAAAATGCTATAAAATAACCGATCAGTTGAATTGGCTGAAACTTTATGAAGGTATGTAATTATCATTTAAGTATATAATACAATATAACACCGGATTCATGAAGTGTTCTAATGGGAATGATATGCGGGAACTACATAGTTAGAATCAGACAATGCTGCGAGAAGTGGCTAGTAAATATGTAAATAAATGTTGTAAATTAAGGCCAATCATATTTTGATGCTGGCAACATATCGTTGTCTTGGCAATAATTTTAGCCTTTTAATAATGAAATAAAAAGTACTACTGTATGTTTAAACATAAAGGCCACTATGTAAAAACTATTATTTATTATTTGATTGTAATTTAATTACTGCAAAATATAATATATAGAATAAAACATCCCTAAAAGTCTAAATGCGGTTGTCAATCTACCTGCCAAGCGTGGCAAGTACTGGCAAATCTCTTCTTACGAGGAAGGCTTATGTTCAGGAGTGGACAATTGACAACTGAAATGATGATGATAAAATATAATATAACAACCACATAATTGTGAAGGGTGGGATATGGCGTGAATTTACAGGGTACAGAGGAATAACACCTGAGTCCTCAGGAATAGCAACGCATGGGGGGTATCATGGGCGAAACAGTATACTCTGTTATGTCCATGGTACTACTCATGTCTATAGGCGACGGTTACCACTTTCTATCAGGTGGGCCGTCATCTTGTTTGCCATTCTAAGTTGTATAAAAAAATTATTTATTTCTGAATTCACGACACATTCCTACATTTCTAGGACACCTAAAACGGTCGTCCGGTGGAAAAAATTAAATATATTTACCATATAACGGCAGGCAATACTCGCAACAGTTGCATAGCGTCGGCGATGGCAGCCATATACCTTTGTGGGTCGCATTGTTAGCGCGACAGTTCACAACCGGAGATATACATCCTACTTCGTCTCTATAAGACTGAAAATTAAAAAAAATACTAATTCGAAATTTAAATTTCTTAATAAGTATTTATTAGAAGCCCAATATGAATACATCATATTCTGTGCACGAGTTTTTAGTCTATAAAAGGTTTCGTTCATTCAAAAATTTTTTTTTTATTTTCAACCGACTTCAAAAAGAAGAAGTTCTCAATTCGGTTGTATTTTTTTTTAATTAGTTACCTCATAACTCCATTCATTCTAAACTGGTTTAAAAAATTCTTGTTTTATCTGAAAAGAAATACTTACAGATTGGTCCCATAGAAATTTTATCAAAATCTGAACCGATTTTTAGTATTATGTAGTAGTTTAATTTTTAGATCAAAGCAACTGGTCGTGTCACAATTGAAATTGTTTTTTTTTTTGTGAGACACAATCTTTAATTATACTGATGCTTTGTTCACTATAACCGCCCTTGAGATATCTAAGGGTCGAGAAGAAAAGAAGTGATGACACATTGTTCATTACATTCTTACCACATCACCATATAAAAACTCAGCCACAATTTTCCACAAAACAATAACTTACAGAGCAAAATCCTGCTTCGCACAAAATGTCACAATTCACTCTGTCAATGAAATAAAACAATATACAAACAATAAAATAACATAAATTGAACGCCATTTTTAATTCAACACCGCTACGATCACACTGATATCAATTTTGTGTCGTATCACAATTATTTTAATTAATTATCAATGTAGATAATATTGGTGACTAACATATAGTACAATAGAATATATTAAGTCATATTATCTTCAAATTATTTCCTGCTAAGTAATAAACGTATGCATTTACAATGGTCTTGCCGCGCCTACTGTACTGTACTTTTTAATAAATTTCAAATTTTGTCCTTTTCTCCATCATTTTATTATCAACAGTTTTGTCCTTCTCAGAATGGTACATGTAGAAAACAACAAAATTTTATTACAGAAGGAATTTCTGTCTTTATATCATACTTTAACCTGTGACCTGTACCTAATAGGTGCTTTTTTGTTTGCTAATTTTTTTATGTATTATAAGTAATATTTAACGTTTTTTTTTTTTATACAACTTAGAATGACAAACAAGCTGACGGCCCACCTGATGGTAAGTGGTAACCGTCGCGTATAGACATGAGCAGTATCACAGACATAACAGAGTATACTGTTTCGCCCATGATACCTCCCATGTGTTGCCATTCTTGAGGACACAGGTGTTATTCCTCTATACCCTGTAAATTCACTGCCATATCCCACCCTCCAAACCAAAACACAGCCATACAAACACAACTGCTTCACGAATGGGGCAGAGGCTGGGAGGAAGAGATTGTTAGTACTGAGGAAGTTAGTTCCCATTGCTAACAATATACCGTATCAGGTCGACCTCCACGCGGTTCCCCTTGGAAACCATCGTGACTAATTTATCATTGAATTCGTCACGATGGGTTGACTGACCTGCTTTTTTCATTATTCACCTATCATCCCTCACAGCGTATCCCGTTAGCGCAGGCGGGGTTACTATTCCATTAATCATGCATTAAAAAAAATGGGACAGAGGTGCTCAAACAAACGACTTTAGTACAAAGTGTCCCTCTGGTGCTTTTTCCTGCTTTATAACAAGCAATTTTTTTTACTCCACAAAAAACAACGGCAGTTTCAATCATTCTAAAATTACAACAGAATTAACACGGGAATACACTTTTTCAATTGCAAAAAAAAATTATGATAATAAATATAGTGTACTAATAAATAGGTAACCGCACTCATAGTCCCCAAGACAGGTCTGGCCTAGTTTGGTGACTGATGGTAATGCAGATATTTCCTCGTTGAATATAAATTATAAAAATTGTAAATTGTACCTTATGCAACTGTATCTTTCTTAAATATTATCCAAGCAATTTGAAAATTAGTGACGTAACCGCGTAAAATATTTGAGACAAATTAAGATTTCTCCTCATTTCCTGTTTACAAGATTCCATGTACTTATTCGCGTCATACGAACAATACACTAAACAATCTAGATTGTTTTGTTTTGTTTGATTAGTTTATAGCACTTACGTTGGATGCCTGTTATCTCTCGTCTAATTCAAACATTAAATGTACCTAATATAGTAGATGTAAACAGTGTTTACATCCAAATCAGACTGTTGAAAAACCTGTTAAAGAATGGCATTAGCATTGATCACGCCTTTTGTACTTTTTTTGTTTTGTAAATTAAATTATCAATGAAATAAATGATAGATTTATTATTTATTTCAGCCGTTAAACTGTCCACTGCTGAACATAAGCCTTCCCCATAAGGGGAGTTTCGACAGTAGTTGCCACAGTTAGCAGACTGTTGGCAACCGCAGTTTGAGTTTTACAGATGTTTTCAAAGGGACGCTGCTGCCCATCCCTCCACCATAAGCTTCTTTAGTCACCTCTTACGACAACCACGGTAAAGGAAGGGGTGGTCCATTCTATGCCGGGACCTACACGGCGCTAGATAGATACTCTTTATTGTTTTTTCCAAAAAATTACAGTAGTAAAATTATAGATACAAACAATTACAAGAAACGGAAAGGGTTTTTGTGATGGGTGATAATGGAATGGCAACCCCACCCGCCCTATTAGTATACACCGGCGGGACACCAGTGAGGGATGACAGATGAGGATTAAGCAGGTCAGTCAGCCCACCGTGACGAATTCAACAAGAACTGTTCACGATGGTTACCAGAGGGAACCACGTGGAGGTCGACCCGATAGGGCATATTGCTAGCAATGTCGAACTCCATTGCTACCAATTCCTTTCCCCCCAACTGAAGGGGTTAGGTATGTTATTCCAGCATTTAGTCGCATGGTAACAAAAAAAGGGTCCAAGTGACAGTCCTATGAATATAAACCTTCCACGGGAGTCGTGTTATATACATATCATTACTACATAATATAAAACAGTCGCTGTCGCTGTCGCTGTCTGTCCGTCCCTATGTATGCTTAAATCTTTAAAACTACGCAACGGATTTTAAAGCGGGGTTTTTTAATAGATAGAGTGATTCAAGAGGAAGGTTTATATGTATAATACATGCATAATATTGTAGAGAAACACTGATAATTTCAGAGGTTTCTAATGTGATGTAATGTGTACCCGTGCGAAGCCGGGGTGGGTCGCTAGTGTATATATATATATATATATATATATATATATATATATATATATATATATATATATATATATATATATATATATATATATATATATATATATATATATATGTGTGTGTGTGTGTATAGTTACAAGGCTAGACTTAAATTTACATACTACAAGAATTATATCGTCATAGTCGTAGAATACTGACGGATATATATATATATATATAATATTTATCAGATCCGTCAGTATTCTACGACTATGACGACATTCTTACACAGTGTCTCTTTAAAATAACAATGATTCTCCAATTATGAATGTTAATTACAACATTATCATGGAATATTCCACGGTGTAATCCCACAGCAAATTACCCACATCTCACTGACGCGTTCTCAAACAAATGCTTATAAAATTCTTTACTTTATCTAACTGTTATCACATTGATATGAGATTCAGCGTGCTGATAAGCAAACCAAACAAGCCGACGGCTGATAGTGTCGCTCTGAGCAAACGTTACTCAATATTACTCGTAAGAAAGCGGCGCTACGGAAACTGACTGGCTGTTATGTGATAAATTTATAAGGAAAAATATTTCTAATCTCTTATTGTATTGTACCTATCTACTCGAAGGTAGGTCGTTCACTCGTGGCTTGATCGAAAAACCCGTATCATAAAAAAAAAAAAAACAAGTACAGTATATAAACCCGCCGTGTGGACCCGGCATAGAATAGGCCACCCCTTCCTGTCCCGTGGGTGTCGTAAGAGACGGCTAAGGAAGGACGAGGGATGGGCAATAGCAGTCCTCTTAAAACATCTCTAAAAGACTAACTGCGGTTGCCAACCCGCCTGCCAAGTGTGGCAACTTCTAGCAAAACTCCGCTTATGGGAAAGGCTTATGTTTAGCAGTGGACAGTTAACGGCTAAAAATAATATATATATATATATATATATATATATATATATATAAACAAGTATTTATAATGCCTATTACACACTGAACTATTACCTGTATGACAAATGTGCATGGTGTTAGTCGAACATGCAAGGGCTTGATCATGTAATAGACATAGTATAATTGGGGGGAAAGAGATTATTAGTAATGGAGACTGAGAATCCCATTGCTAGCAATATACCCAACCAGGTTGACCTCCTCGCGGTTCCCCCTGGAAACTATCATGGTTAATTCCTGATGAATTCATCATGATGGGCTAACTGGCCTGTTTTCATTCTCATCTATCATTCTTCACTGGTGCTCCGCCAAAGTATCCCATTAGCGCAGGCGGGGTTACCATACCATTTTCAGCCATCGAAAAAAAATAGACATAGTATATTTAAATAAATACACATATTGTTAACAGAGATTTAAAAGAGTAACTGTCGAGTTTCTTGCGGGCTCTTCTGAACAGGTAATAACGTTCCGAAACCTGCAGTAGATTAAAAAAATTGTCGATTAAAAAACTTTGCAAACAAGTCTATTTGAATAAAGATGAGTTAAATTTAAATTTATATAATATAAAAATAAAACTTTACTAACGTCTCGCCCAGATTCGCAAGGTTTAATCAAATAAAATTTAGCCCACGTCACTTGCTGGTAATGTAGCTTTCTATATATCAACGAATTTTTAAAAAGCCCGTACCATAGAACAAAAAAACAAGTATCAGTACTATTCCTTTACTAACAGCCTGTCCCTACTTCCAAAGATTTATTTAATAATTAAAGATTTTGTCCCATAAAAAAACCGAGATCAATAGTAGCAAAACCAGTTATTTTACTTTAAAAACTAAACTATTGGAAATTGTCTATGGGAAGTAATTTAATTGGGAATATAAATTTGTTTTTTTTTTTATTGGAACATTTGGACATTTGGATTGGAAAGTAAGAATATCCTTCCAGATAAGAAAAAAAAAAAAATTCTAAATCATAGGTTTATTAATGACTGATTGATTGATGAATGATTTTATACAACTTAGAATGGCAAACAAGATGACGGCCCACCTGATGGAAAGTGGTAACTGTCGCCTATAGACATGAGTAGTACCATGGACATAACAGAGTATACTGTTTCACCCACGATAAATGCGTTCCCATTCCTGAGGACTCAGGTGTTATTCCTCTGTACCCTGTAAATTCACGCAAAATATACTTAATCGAATTACTAACCTTCTCGTTTTTTGCTATCGATTGCAACAGATTGCAACTTTTGAAAAGACAAATTTTAAACTTTTAAAACAAATTAAATAATACTTAAAAGAAATCCAATGAACAATGCATCAGTATGTTTCTTCGGTTCTTGCCAACAGTAGAGTCAGCATCCGTTCATAAAGAGAGCAACTCCATGACAGTGTTTACTGGCAATACTGTCGACGGATAGCTCTCTTCATTAACAGATTATGCGTTGACTTCCTCTTCTTCTTCTCTTTTCTTCTTCTCAGTGTTCTTTTGCTGTTTAATTTTAGTGCAAATCCACTATATTTACATTATCTTTTTTTAACAATTTAAAGTAATTTTTCTTACAATTAATGAAAAAATATCTAAGTATAATATTTTAGTTATATATATAAATACATCATAATGCTATATCTTAGTAACCATAAACTATAAATATCTAAATAGAAGAGATAGTTAATCTAGATATATAATTAGAAATAAATAATTAAAAAATAAAATATATATATTTAAAGATAGCTGCCAGCTGGTAGGGTACCTAGGATACTTGCTGCATTTCCACGCTGAATAGCAATGGAAATGCGTTGATATAAATAAATTAATTTATTACATTAAAATATGTTAGTGCATCGATATATTTGACATAGTAAGACACACCTATCTTAACTCTTAAGTAAGTCATGTACAAATGAAATCATATTTTGCAATATTTTTAAAGTAATAACAATATTTAATAAAACATGATAATAAATTTAGAGATAGAGATTAGAGAGGAAATTAATACATTAGAAAATAATTGGAAACATTTCCG